TAATGTCCTTCAGCTTTTCCCATCATCCCCACATCCCACTCAGATCCACCAGTTTTACTAAAATGACAATCACCCTTTCAATTCAAACCTCACCTCTTTACCCGATATATTGCACACAATAGCTGAGATGGTAGAATTAAATATAACCCCGTAGCATAGCTCTTTGGCTTCTATTTCAAATCCCAAAGATTCTAGAGCATGTGATATAATGTATAGTTTAAATATTACATTCTTTAGCAATATAATATTCCGTAGGCTATAGTTGGTCGCATATATCAAATATTTATTGTTTCGCATACTTTCCTTAAATAAAACCTACGGAATTACCTAATGTGATTAAAATATATATGACAATTAATGATTTTAAACAATAAAGATTTGATAACAATCTGTATACTTTTTCATTTTGTTTATTTCTTTATTATTAAAATAAATTACACAATTAAATTAATCATTTAATAAAAATCTAGATTTTTTTGTGTGTATGTTGTATTTCGAATTTTTCAAAATGAATATAAATTACTAAAACTTTTAAAAGTCCCACATAACTTTTAAGATTAAGGTTTTAATTTTTTTTGTATACTAAAATATAATGATTATAAGACCATATGAAGAAATAATTTTAGTTTATATATATATTTCATATCATTTTAATTAAACTATACATCGTATGAAAATACATACTTATATTTTGATATTTGCCTTGAATATATATTGAAAAGCTAATATTTTAATTTTGGAATATGTCATTTGTTTTTTTAAAATGATTATAAATTATTGAAAATACTAAACATCTCATATTAAAAAACAATTCGTTGGTGTAAAGTTTTGTTACACAAGCAAATAATCATAAAATCATATGAGTAGAAACCTCATTTAATAAATATTCATATTAAAAGTGTGCTATATTACTATGTTTATATCATTTAAATTTAATTATATATCATATACAATATATAAGATTGATTATTTTGATTTATTTACCCTAATTGTGAATAAACAAGAGTAATAGTTAAATTTATATGCATACGCCAACTTATTACATAATAGTAACTGATTTCTTAGTTATTTAATATATATTTATTATTTTATTATTTATAATATGAAGAAAATATAAAATAAATAATAAATATAAAATACTTATTATGCATAAAGTGCAGATCTTAACCTAAATATGTATCTCTTTAATTATTTTAAATCTTAAGTATTTTCTAAATTTCATCAAAAAAAACAAACGAAATGAGAATAAAATTCAAAATAAATATTTATATCGAGTAATAACCAAAATATAAAAAAAACATAGCAAGAGAAAAATGGAAGATAAATAGGATTGACACGTGAACGTAAACTTCTCATAACCATAATTAATTTTTAAATTGGTAAATCATGATAAAAAGTGAGCTAATTTTTAATTTTTTATTTGTTAATTTTTTTAATTTTTTAATCATTATGGTTATGTTAAATCATGACCATAATTAATTTTAATTTGTTTATTTGTATGTGAAAAACTTAAAATATTGTTTTTAAAAATAATTTAAAATTTAACATAATTTTTTATAAAATTATTTTAAAAAATAATAATATTTATAAAATATAATTTTCTAATATTATTAGATAAATAAATAAATTATATTAAATTAGTTTTGAAGCTTTATATATTTTAAATGCAAATATTTTACCAATTGCTTCTTAAAAAACATTAGGAAACTTGATAATTCACTATCAATCAAGCCCAGTGACACTCCATTTATTTTCCATCACTCGAACACTGAAAAGTGAAAGATATATGAAATCAGATCCATTAAATTTTAAGATTTGATCTACATTTCTAATTAAAATTGTTTCTGATCATACGTATAGATAATTATATAAAAAATTCCAAAATTCTAAATTTCAAATACATACAAAAACAATCATATGTAAATTTTAAATTTGTCAATACTAAAATTTTATATTTTAATTACATATATTCACCCTGCGCAAGACGCAGGTCTTATCCTAGTATATATTAAAAGGGATGTAGGTTACGATAGGGATATAGTCTCAGAAAGATTTGGTTAGTCGAAAATATTTTTTTGGAATATTCCTTATTGTTACTGATCCACAGCAGAAAAATCTGGATGGTTGGACTACTAAGATTTTGTTAATTTATTAAAATCGGGTCAAATCCATTTTAATCGGATAAAACCGCTTTGATATAAAGTATATCTTAAGAAATAATATAGTGGCATTTGGTTGTAAATACTTGCAAAATAAAAGAGCACTCTCAAAAAGTGACTTTTTTTTTAATAGTATAGATTAATTAAAAAATATCCTCATCATATGTGGCATCTATCTATGCTTTCTATTTCAAGTTTAGAAAGATTTTAGAACACCTTATATAAAACATAGTTTTAAAACAAGGTACGTTAGTCTCATATAAGACATATCAAACTAAATAACATATCAAACTAGATCTTCTATATATTCTTTCCTTAAATAAAACCTACAGAATTATCTAATGCAATTAAGATATATATGACTATTAATGATTTTAAATAATAAAGATTTGTTAACAATTTGTATAATTTATATCATTTTTGTTTATTTTTTATTATTAAAATAAATTACATACTACACTAATCATATAATAAAAATTTAGATTTTTTTTATATATGTTGTATTTTGAAATTTCAAAATGAGTATAAATTACAAAAACTGTTAAAAATCTCACATAAACTTTTGTAATCAAGATCTAATTTTTATTCTATAATAAATTAAAATGATTATAAAATCATATGAATAAATAATTTTGTTTTAATAGGTGTTTATGTTAATATATATATATATATATATATATATATATATATATATATATCTCATATCGTATGAATAAATAATTTTATTTTCGACATAATTATAATTTAAAATTTAAATTAATTTTATAAAATTATTTTTATTTAAAAATAATTTTAAAAAATATAATTTTCTGATATTATTATGCAAATAAATAAATTATATTAAATTAGTTTCAAAATTTATATATTCTAAATGAAAATATTTTACTAACTGCTTCTTAAGAAAATACTAGGGAACTTGATAATGCTCTACCAATTAAGTAATGTGACACTCCGTTTATTTTTCATCACTCGAACACTGAAAAGTGAACAAATATATGAATCGGACCCATTAAATTCTAAGTTTTGATCTACAGTTCTAATTACAATTGTTTATGATCTTACGTATAGATAATTATATAAAATTTCAAAAATCAAATACATATAAAACAATCATATGTAGATCTTAAATTTGTCAACTACTAAAGTTCTATATTTTAATTACATACACTCATCAAACGCAATGTGCATGTCTTATCCTAGTTTTAAGGAACTATTTCATTTTATATTTTGTTTCTCCTTCTCATTAATATGATTAACCTTAAATCTCATATGAGTTTAAGGTTTATCATGGAGATTAGTAAGTAGATACTTTTTGAATCCCTGGGTGAGGTAGATTTAGGGTAATTAGTGAAGAGTTAAGTGTTTATATATTGTTAGATCTACTTGTTTGTTTATATGCTTACTAAGTGTTCTTAATGCTAGATTAAACTTGATAACTTCCATCTAGACCTTAAGATATTTTATGCCCGGAAAATGTTTGTTAAAATGCTTGAATGAACTTAATAGGGCTCTATCTTGAATAACCAAAGACATTTGATGTTAGGATTGCTAGATGGTTAATAGATTTAAGCTTATTACTTGTTTGATAGTATTATGCCAAAGACATTTAATGTTTAGTACTTAATACAAAATGATTATTATCACGACAATGGATTAATATATATCTATAGAAACTTGTGATTCCTTAAAACTTAACACCTTGACTTGAAACTAATTTTTTTGATCAATTGTCTTAAGCCCATGATATCTACCTTATTAATTGTTTGAAAGTTGGTACTTGTGTTTTTTGATTGGTTTTGAAATCATCTTGTTTATATTTTTAGGATTTTAGTTTGTTATAAATCACCTATTTTCTTATTTGTTTAAATTAAGAAAGTTTTTGTATTCTATCATTAGTTCTTTGTGGATTCTATTCTAAAATGCTATAGCGACATACCATTGTATTGTGCTATTATTGGCACATTAGATTAATTGGTTTGTGCGAAAATGTAAAATACTCCCTCTGTTTCTAAATAAGTGTCACTTTAGCCTTTTAATTTTATTTCAAAAAAGTATTATTCTACAATCCCAATGTAATTTTGTACATTAAATCTATTTTTTACCCTTTTGAATAACCAATAGTATTTTACTTAAATTATTTTCATTTAATTAAACATACATTAAATAAGAATATATTAGTCTATTATACAATTTTCTTAATTTATGTGCAAAGAGTCAAAATGACACTTATTTAAAAACAGAGGGAGTATCACTTAGCGACAACTATTTGCTCTGGTTACACATGTATCCACGTTCTTTCCTTAAATTCAATGATTTCTACGTTTACTCATACTTTCTCTCATTTCAAAATCACATCATTAACTATGAGATGCTTCCTTTAAACAGGTAAATTAGTGACAACTAAACTAATAATTCATCTTCATCATGGCTAATGATTAGATGACCACCGCAAGCTATCAAATTTGCATTATTATTTTATATAGTCAATTCCAACCAACTATATTATGTCCAAAGGAAAACAAACTAAAGACTTTTCTAATTCGTATAATACGACAAAATTTACTTTTAAATATCTCTCCACAATTATTTGAGCAGCTTGCCAGATCGTTAATTGAAAATCGTCTTAACACAAAAAATAAAACTTCCGAAATCGTAGCAGCTTTAGTTTTCTTAGTAATGTTATGAACTAATGTAATTTTGTTCATATCATCGTTGGACATTATTATCTCTCAAGTTAATCTTTAATTTCTTAGTAATGTTATCAAGTAATGTAACTCATTTCATACTATCATCTTTGAACATTATAATCTCTCAAATTAGTATTTATTTTTCCATGAATTTGATAAAATGCATACCTTATTCATCACCATACAGTTTACATTTTAATTTGATCTTAAACATTACATACCATCATGAACAAACAAACAAAATTCAATTCTCAGAAACACATCAGCACAAAAAATGAACACACAAATTAAATCACATAATCACACAACCGGAGGCGTTCTCGTCACTAAACGCCGTAGTATAACGAACTTCAGTGGAGCTAGCACGTGCGAGCCGCGACCCATGTGGATCATATTCAGTGTTCCTAACGTAACCAACGGGAGCTCTATTATCGTAGACACCAGACGCGTAAGGGTGAGCCACAACGTCGTAAGGAACGAAAGGGTATAGCTCAGCTCTTTTACCGGTGCGGTGAATGATCCGAGCCACCACTCTGTTTGGCTCCACGTAACCAACCACAGTCACTTTCTGAGCATTAGGCTCTATTGTTACATCTCTCACTCCTTTCATTCCTTCTAAGGCTCTTCTCACTTTCCTCTCACATCCTTCACAGTCTATCAAAACCCTCACATCCACCGTCTAATGTGCACCATAATATATTATAAGATATGGTTATGAAAAACGTAACTATATATATACATGGTTGAGTTTGTTTACCTGTAGACTTTTGTGTCTCTTGGAGCTACCATGGGAGGAGCAATCAAAGTATTCAGAGACGTGATCAAGAACCCCCATTTTTTCTTTTTTTTCTTGATTTAGTTTGAGAGAAAAAAAAAATAGATATAAACTTTGAAGTTTTGAGATATTCGATATGATTTTTTTTGGTTGTGGACACAAAATGAGTTTCAAATTTTGAAAATACGACCTACCAAACTCATTTTCTTTGTGCAAACTATACAAGTAGTCTTCGATCATATGTTTATATATGTCTATATGTGCTGGTATTTGGCATCAACTTTAGTGACTTGGGTGTGAGTTTGACTACCGAACAATAAGAAAAGCCAATACACATATAATTCTTAGTAGGGCTGGGAAAAAAATATCGAAACCAGAAAATAAACCAAATCCAATCTAATAAAAAAGTAATATTGAATCTGAACCGAAATTGGTTAAATATTTAAATGAATTCAAAATTTTGGTATATAAAAAATCGGAGCCAAACACATTCTGAACTGAAATATTACGAATATCTGAATATATCCGAATCAAATATATATATATATATATATATAAATATATTAGTTATTTTTAGATTTAATATCCAAAAATATAAGATATTATAAAGTTGTCCAAAATACTTGAAATGTATATAATAGTAAATATATAAAATAGTGTATACAATATTCAAAATATTAAAAATACTTAAAATATCTATTGATTATCCATCAAAATATTCAGGCTAAACTAATTCTTGTGTTAAATTTAGGTATTTTTGCATATATTCTTTAAATTTATATGTTACATATTCTTTTTATTTTATATTTTGAGAAATTTCAAGTATTTTAAAATTTCTAATTTTAAAAGTAATTTAAATTGGTTTTCCGTACCCAAACCGAACCCGCAAAGATCCGAATCAAAATTTATAAATATCCGAATGGGGTTAAAAAAATTTAATCCCAGAATCCAAAACCCCAAAACCCAAAACTCAAATAAACCCGAACCAAACTCGAATGGGTATCCGAACACCAACCCCTAATTCTTGATGCATTAATCTTCTTATAAATTAGAGTTTAATCCATACATACGTCGCTTTCCTTCTATATGCACCACTTCCAGTGCGACAATAATTAATGTTGACAGACATTTCCAATATTATTCATGCTTGCTATTGATCGATATTAAGAAATCTCTGTACGCAATTATTTAAAAGATCCCTAAACAATTATATAAATGATCATTAATTAGAAGTTGGAATCTTGTAAGATGATTAGATGAACTCGTGTTACGTAATGGTAAACCACTATAGACATGTAACATGTTCATGCACAAACAAAATATGTATCGACATCATATTTGTTTTATTTATGTTGAGAACTCAACATCATATTTGTTGTTATGGTTTTTGAATTGATAACTCTTAGAGAAATCTTGTTTTGCTTTCCTTTTACCTACTGCAGATAAGACTTTATGAAAACAACATCACGTATTCACGTTTTTCAATCTCCTTTTGTATTAATTTCTACAGTTATACATTTATTTCCCTATTATAAGATAAATACTTGTCAGTAGCAGTCTTGGTTTATTGCAGACCAAAAACTGGTTTATAAAAAAAGGTCTATTAACAAACCTATACCTCGAACTTAAGTTGTTACAAAAAAAACACAAGAATTTAAGCCACAAGACTAAAAGACTTTTTGAAAATTAACAGCCGAAATTAATGTATTTTTGGAAGCTAGAAGTCTTTGTTTCTATTGCTTCCTATCAAGGCTGAGCATGTACTTGTTCTATGGCAAATAAACAAACGAGCAATAACAGTGATTAATGGATATATGTAATGTATTGCTGTGACAGACGTGAGAAGATACAGATTAACAGATTGGATGAACAGAAAAGAAAGACAAAGAGATTTAACGTGTTTTGATCCACGGGCAAAAGAAATACTTTATTAGTGGAGGCTAATTTTTCAGAGTACAACTCGTGTTACAGAATAGGGTAAAACCCTAAATATATATATGAAAACGTTTAATGAAACTTTCCATATTTTCTCGGATTGACACAATATCGATCGATACAGAAGCTCTCGTATCGATCGATACGTGTCCAGTCAGATCGACCGATCCATGACACTTAGATCGACCGATGCAGATTCAAGGCATATTTCAACAAATCTCTACCTTGACTTGAATCCTCCATAATCAGATGTACCAGGATGCACTTCTTCGTGCTCAGATGTACCAGACTCTCTCTTTGCCTTAGATGTTCCGTCAAACTCAGATGTCAGATGTCCCGTCGGACCAAACGCTCCTTAGAGCCAGATGCCCCTTAGGGCCAAATGCCCATCAGGGCCAGATGCCCATCAGGGCCAGATTAACAGCTTGAGATGTTCAGCAAATCAAGACAATGCTTGAACTTGCTGTGAGGAACCGGCTTAGTGAACATATCTGCAGGATTATCAGCTGTTCCTACCTTCTTCACTTCAATCCTCTTCTCATCTCTCAGAAAATGGTATCTCACATCAATATTCTTGGTTCTCTCATGATGAACCTGATCCTTGGCTAAACAGATAGCACTCAAACTATCACAGAACACAATAGCCTTATCATGATGAAGACCAAGATCACTGACCAATCCTCTTAACCATATTGCCTCCTTAGCGGCTTCTGTCAATGCCATATACTCTGCCTCATTTGTATACAAAGTCGCCTTCCAGCTCACAATAGAACCACCCAAAGTAAATACGTAACCAGTCATAGATCTCCTGCTGTCCACATCTCCTGCATAATACCAATCAGAATAGCTTCTAACCATGCTCAGATCCTTGTCTCCATAGACAAGACCAACATCAGATGTACCCTTAAGGTACCAGAAAATCTCGAACTCATAATTCAGCAGCTCTTTCAGCTTCTGAACATCATACATCTTCTTGGAAGCTATCAGCTTGTCATCTACATACAACACCAGGTAGATACACAAAACATCTTCCACCTTGCTTATGTAAAAACAACTGTCATAGGGACTCATGTCGTAGCCCAACTTGACCATATAACTGTCACACCTCTTGTACCACTTGGGAGTTACAACCTTTCTCCTAGGTGATAGTGTGACCAAATCCCATGTATGATTCTTCTCATGAGAATCTATCTCATCTTCCATTGCAACAAACCATTTCTCAGACTCAGAACTAGAAACAACTTCTCTGTAAGTGGATGACTCGTAAGTATCCACTTCCTCTGCAACCTGCAGTGCATAACCCACCATATCATCAAGATGATATCTCTCTGGTGGCCTGACATCAACTCTCCTTGGTCTATCTCTAGCAATACTGCATTTTTCAAACCCAACACGTTGATTTCCAGAACTAAGGAACTCGTCTGACGTCGATCGTTCGATCCCTTCTTCTGATGTCGATCGATACTGACCTTCCGACGTCGATCGACACTGAACATCTGACATCGATTGACACTGTTGACCCGTCATCGATCGACACTTTTGATCTGTCATCGATCGACACAGTTTATCAAAATCCTCATTCCTCTTCTCCAAACCTTCATTAGAAAACATGCACCTCGTTTTCTCCAGCAAAGTTTGGTTTATATCTGCTACACCATTCTTCTATGGTGTATCTCTGATTGTAAGATGCTTTGTAGCTGTTGCATCCTTACAAAACTAATTGAACTCTGATGAATTAAGTTCCAGACCATTTGCTGAAACTATAGAACCTTCCAGCAAATACAGAGTATCATGAATGAAACCTCACAGAATCACATCTAAACCCTTGTAGACACTCAGAACTCCATCTGCACCTGAACACTTGAAACCTCTGTTATCCAAAAGACTAACTGAGATCAAGTTCTTGGACATAGCTGGAACATGTCTAACTCCGGTCAATGTACACACTCTACCACCATGTGCCCTGAGCTTTATCAAACCGATTCCTGCAACATCGCAAACGAAGTCATTCGCCATCTTGATCTTGCCATCAGTCACTTATTCATACTCTGAGAACCATTCCCTCCTTGGACACATGTGATATGACGCTCCTGTGTCTAGAACCCACACATCCCTAGAATGTGTTTTTCCATAAGCAACTAGAGCAATACCGTCATCAGACTTAGCTTCATTCCAATGTCCTCTTTCATTGCAATAATGGCAAATATCAGTTGGCTTAGGACCCTTTGTAAACGACCTTTTGTCTTTCCCAAAGTTCTTTTCACCACCTACAAACCACCCAGAAGCTTGGTCATCTGTACCAGAATTAGATGCTTGGTCTTTATTTCTATTGCTTCCTATCAAGGCTGAGCTTGTACTTGTTTAATGGCAAATAAACAAACGAGTGATAACAGTGATTAATGGATATATGTAATGTATTGTTGTGACAGACGTGAGAAGATACATATTAACAGATTGGATGAACAGAAAATAAAGACACAGAGATTTAACGTGGTTTCATCCACGGGTAAAACAAGTACTTTATTAGTGGAGGCTAGTTTTTCAGAGTACAACTCGTGTTACAGAATAGGGTAAAACCCTAAATATATATATGAGAACGTTTAATGAAACTTTCCATATTTTCTCGGATTGACACAATATCGATCGATACACAAGCTCTCGTATCGATCGATACGTGTTCAGTCAGATCGACCGATCCATGACACATAGATCGACCGATGCAGATTCAAGGCATATTATAATATAGTATAATCAAATAGGCAATAATTGTATATACCAAATTTTAACAAAAATTAAAAATAATATGTATATATAGTAGTATATTATAAAATAGGCTGTGTGGAAGGAGCTAGAGCTTCCATATCAACATACAATAGCGAAAATATATTATATCTTCGATGATAAATCTTACGTTTTCTTTGTGATATTTAAAATAAAGGTCGGTTAGTTGTTACTTGTTGCAATGTGAACAAGATATGTGATGACATAACGATTTTGTCATCACAAAGATTCCTATAATTGTGAAACTGGTAACATGTGTCTGTATCTATAACGCATACTCGAGGTGTTCATTGTATTTGCATCTGTAGTGAAAAGCTAAACTTCCTATTGCTCGCATACCTTATCAACATATTGTAAATCGTAAAATACTGCCGTGCGTAGTACGGGATAAAGCAACTTGACGAAACCATTCTCATGTTTTCCTTCGTTAAACCAGTAGATAAAGATTAACTCAAAAAAAAGTAATCAGCTAACTTTTGATTGTGCTTTTATTTTCGAAAATTAGGTTTTTAATAGCCTAGCTCCGGCAAAACCTTGATTAATGCCGAGTTTTGTGATACATATATACTTTGATCATCAGTACAATAGGTGTGCCACGTCACCAATAATCTTGGAAGTGGGCTGGGCTTCAATTTAGAATTTGGAAATTCATGTGAAAGAATGATGTCGTTTTGGCCCATATGGCCAAACATCTGAGAAAACACAGAACCCTAGCTTTGCGTCTCTTTTTTCTTCTTCTAGATTTTTCGTCTTTTTTTCTTCTTCCATGATCATCTCCAAAGGTTTACACTATTTTTTACTTTAAAATAGAGTCACTCTATAATAGAGTTACTCCAAAGATACTCTATTTTAAAGTGAAAAATAGAGTGATGAACAAAAAAAAGTTATTTTATATTTGGAATAAACCTATTTTCACTCTATTATAAAGCGAGAAATGTAGTGCCATTAGAACACTTTTACTCTAAAACTCTATTTTAGAGTGAAAAATAGAGTGAGATTAGAGATGCCCTAAGGCGATTCGGTTTCTCGACTTATGATTTCTCAACCGAAGTCGAATCATCGACACCACCCCTTCACTCCACCTCCTTGCCATGAAACCCTCTTAAATGGGTTCCTTTATTGGTACCTTTCACCTTCCTGAGGCACTGGTTATTGATCTATATACTGAAGAATATAAAGGAAGGACTTTCAAGAGTTTGCAAAATTTGCTTTCAATGAATATGGTGATAGAGTGACGCATTGGGTTACCATAAACGAGTCTTATGAGTTTAGCCTTGGTGGATACAACACTAGAGAGAAAGCAGCAGGAAGATGTCATAAATACATCAATGATAAAAGCGATGGTGGTGATTCTCGATGTGAAAAGGTGATATCTCTTTAAGAACCAAAATATATTAAAGTTTTTATTGATATAACGTGTGGATTCATATCAAAACAGTGCAAAGATGGGAAGATTGGTATAATCCAGAGTCCAATGTGGTTTGAGCCTTACGAGAGTGAAAAGAGCTATGGATTTCACTTCAGGCTGGTGAGTGTCTTTAAGCAAATTAGAACAGGCGAGATTGTTGTTTTCAATATTGATGTAAGTGGTGCTTTGTGTTTGTGTCTCGTTCTGTTCCATCAAACCATTATCTTACTTCATGATATACCCATCGTCCATCGTGCCATTGAAGTAATGTTCTTTTCTTAAAATTATTTTCTCATTATCATCTCTTTGGAGCATACAATCTATATTATAATAGTAAACTAGGCTCCACAGCACGGCACGTCAGCAGTTTTATGGGTCCCGTAAGTATTTTTTAAAAACACATAGTCTTGATAAGATGATTACAAACAATTAAATACACTTTAGCCAAATGGTATAAGATATCTATTTAATCATGCAAGATCGTGAATTCAAACCACGCAACTATCATGTATTTTTGATTTTTTGATTTGGGTTATTATCATATGAGCTTTTTGTTTATAAGGTTTTATGTTTATTTTTTTGGCTAATTGTTTTAAATATAAAAATAGTTTGATAAACCCTAAAGTTTAACAAGTTCAAACCAAAAAATAGTTAAAATGGATTCAAAACGAACAATAAAAAAAAAGAAAAAAAAAAGCAAGCCCCACGCGGTTGCCTACGCGGATGGCTTTAAAAGCCTTAAAACTATCCTATTATACTATAGCTCAACCCAAAAATAATAAAAATGGATCCAAAAACGAACAGACCAAAAAACAAAAAAAAAAGTAAGTCCCAGGCTTGCTACCTACGTGGATGGCTTAATGAGGCTTGAATAATATAGATTAAGAGCTCAAAAAGTTAAATCATTGCACATATTACCTAATCTATATTTTCAAAAAAATTATATGTGAGATAAAATAAAAAAACAACAAAATTAAATTATTTTTCATTATTTATTAAATGAATATGTAATTTCTCTTACATTTTAATAACTACTATAATTTCATTGAAAACATTCCTCACCACCGATTCTAGACTCCGACGAATGGATTCCCACAGTCGGCCGTAGATAAAAATGCCACATCATTTATGAACAAAACTCAAACTTACAAAAAATCATATATAAAAATCTATCTAAAGAAACTTAAACAACGAATATTAACTTAATTAAGGTTATTTTCAAATTGATAAATCATTTAATACAAATAGAAATACTATAAATATAGAATTATATCAAATTTTGACATACGATATAAAAACTATTTACAGCAAAAAAAAAACACCTACTTTTACACAGTAAAAACTATATTAAAGCCTAACTATTCCTATAAACCTTATTTCGCATATAAATAACATTTAACACATTCCTAATATATTTTCAAAAAAATTGTATGTGAAATAAAATAAAATAAACAACAAAATTTAAGTATTTTTCGTTTTTATTAAATGAATATGTAATTTCTCTTACATTTTAATAACTACTATAATTTCATTGAAAACATTCCTTACCACCGACTCCAGACTCCGGCGAATGGATTCCCACAGTCGATGACGCCGTAGATAAAATGCCACATTATTTATGAACAAAACTCAAACTTACAAAAAACCATATATAAAAACCTATCTAATGAAACTTAAACAACGAATATTAACTTAATTACGATTATTTTCAAATTGATAAATCGTTTAATACAAATATAAATAATATAAATATAAAATTATATCAAGTTTCGACCTACGATATAAAAACTATTTAGAGCAAAAAATAAAAAATAGACACCTACTTTTATACACTAAAAACTATATTATAGCTTAACTATTCCTATAAACATTACTTCGCATATAAATAACATTTAACACATTATATATACAATATTTTCACTTTACACTCTTACTACATTCTTTCAATTTCATTATTATTTGGTGTCATTAGAATAATCCACTAAACCAACAATCGAAAAAAATACACGCAAACACAATGATCCCGGCTCCGCGCTTCCGCGGAGAATATGCAACTAGTAAATATAAGGAATCTCTATGTTTAATTGTTTTTTTTTTGGATCGAAATCTCTCTGATTAATTGTGTAACAATAAACTGAAAGGAAGATTATTTTTTGAGATGTCTCTCTTCTTCTCTTGATGGAGTCTTTCTAGAGACAACCAAAATTCTGTGTACTAAAAGAGGTCTTTTAGTCAGAATGACTCACGAGTTTGATCACCAACTTTCTTAATAAACCATACGCGGAGTGATAATCATATTTGTTTGATGCATAGAATCTTCTGGATAGTTTACTGAATTTGAATGACTTCTCTTGGTTTTGATAATCTTCGGCAGGAGGAAGGAGCGAGTAGACTTACAGACACTGCAGCAGCAGTAGTTTTGATTAGGTGCTGTTATTATCTTCTCCACTCTCTTACAATTGTCACCGCCGCATCTAGCTGTAGCATTATTAGACCACCATTATCTCAGTTTTTCAACTGTTCGCGGGTCCCACTGACACGTGGCGGCCCATGATTGGTTCTTTTTAAAAAAAAATTTAATTAAATAAAAATGAAAAAAGAGTTAAAAATTAAAAACCCAAGTGGGTATTTGGGATAAAGATGGTCTAAATTCTTTTGATTCTTAATAATTTTTTCTGATTATACAATCGAAGAAGAATAGTACGGATACATATACATGCTCTGAAGAGATTGTGTAATCACCTGGATAGTTTATTGGGAGTTTCTTATCGTCTCTTAGATCTGTAAGAATACACATTGGACCTCTTATACTTATCAATGTTAGATTCCTTATGTCAGTGACAGCTCGAGGACAACATTCACCAACAAAAGCCAGTAAAAAGACAGAAAAGAGAGATGGATACAGTGGAAAATTGTTGCTGGTGTGGGAGATAAGAAGACAAGTTTTGCCCACAGCTCCAGCACTTTATAAAACGTCGTAGCTGTTTTTGTAGTTGATACTGATGCTGCAGACACAGAAGCTGACATTGATTGAGATATGAGAATAAGGTTCTCTGGTTTAGCTTCTCTTTCTCTTTTTATGCTCCTGGTTAGGTGTAGAACGAAACTGAGACTTGAGAAGAAAAGTTGAATGATTTTGAAAGCATGGAAGAAAGGAGTCAACTTCAGTTTGAGATTTCAAAGACGTAAAATTATTTTGAATCCATAGACTTGCTTTTTATTTCATCTTTCAGATGAAAATTTATGTGGTCTCTTTTTGTTCAATATGACATACAAAACTCAAAGGTCCAACTTTTTTCAGCAAAAGATACGAAGTATTGTCGAATAAATGTAATTTATGTGTTGCTGCTCGGTCATGTTTCAAAAAAAAAAAGTGTTGGTGCTAGGTCACCTAACTAAAATAATGCAGTTAGTATGTTATTTTCTTATTAAAGTTGTAGAAGCTTTTATTCTTTAGAGACACTTTGGAATCGACTAATTGGTATGAGAGTATTGACTATTTAAAGTTATCAATAAAAACATTCGCTGATGTACTATGATATTCATATTTGATATTTTTTTCTTATAACAAAGAATAGCTATACAACTTTGGCATAAGAAAATTGATCAATAAAAAGTGGAGAAAATAATTTGATAACGAGTAAGATTAGTAAAATTAGTAACTCTTTCACAAAACAAAAAAATTAGTAAAATTATGTTCTTTTTTGAATTATATCACTTGCTTATATGTTATTGTATATATTAATGGAATGGCGTTGTTTTAACGAATTATATTTTTTGTTTCAATACGTAACAGTTTTAAAAAAACTCTATAAGTTTAGGCAATGGATAGAAAACACCCTCATCATTAACGAGAAAAAAAAAGTAAGTCAATCATTATTATCGTGTTTATGAAAAAAAAAACAAAATTCACAGTTCATTTTCTCCTAATGATTCATTTTACCTTAATCGCTAAAAAATCATTTTAGCTTCAAACAATAATAAAAAAACTTATAAAATAATCTTATAATATACATATATATATATATATATTTAACTTAAAATTAAATTAAATTTATAATTCAGTTGGATTGGTGTGACCATTGATCTAACTGCAATATTAAGTAAATGTTCAGTTTAGTATTCAAAACATTGATGGCAAGATAAATTAATATCATCCAGTTTATAAGTAAATAAATAAATAAATATTATTCCTAACAACAAAATATATAGTCTTAAATTTATATAATATCTTTTTAAATTTAAATAAAAGTAAATTAATTTTATATATTTAATTTTCATATTTTGATAGAGATTGTTTTTTACCAACATTTTGAAGATAGAAAATATAAAATTACAGATTAAAATATTATTATGTAAGTAATTTATACCAAAATTAAAATGAGGATTATGTTAAAAAAAACTATAAAATTTATATTTCATAAAAAAAAAAATTGTTCATTATTAGTATGAATTATAAAAATCGTACTTTACAATGATTTTGTCAATCATTATCTTTTTCTATTTAATTTAACATTCTATTTCTTCTGATTTTAATTATAAATTTAATTATACAATATATCATATATATAAATAATATGATTGAGAATTTTGTTTAAGAGACTAGCCGCGCGTAACGCGATCAAAAGATCTAGTGTTCATTAAAAGTTTTATACCATGTGGGTTTATATTACTAAAGTAAAATGTAATGATTTTTCATTTCCAATGAAGCTTACTACTACCAAAGTACCAAGAATGGGAAGAGTCATCGTTAGGGGGAATATTTTCAACATAACATACACGATTGGAAACTCCGTATGGGAGATACGGGGTTATTGCAAAGCTGTATTTGGTTGTTCACGTTTAGTTAATGATTTTTCCAGTTTAAAACTTTTTAAAATTGTTAGCTGTGCGTTTTAAACAAAATCTGAGTCGTTGATTCTCTTTAAATTTATACTCAACAATGATTAAACTCGTCTTAGTCTATAGTTTAGTTAATGATGTTTCCAGTTAGAGATGTCAAACAAACCGTCCTGTCTCGTCCTGTCTCGGATCACGGCGGGTTTAATTTTTCGTGGGGTATGGTAGATCTGTTCTACACGGACTGTGGTCTTCAAAAGATCTTCCCAATCCCATCCGTCAATATACACAGTTCTTTACAAACTGTCCAGCGGGCTGGATATGGATGTAGTCGATCATGGTTGTTCTTAGTGTAGAAGGCTGTTCCAAGACAATTAAGGCTGCTCCACTACATTCTTAAGAACACAAAATGAATTTATCATGAAACCATTATTATTGACGCTCAAAAGAATTTGTTATATTATAATCAAACTTTAAGTGCATGTTGAAAATGAGATAAGTTCTTGTAACAAGTGCATGTATAAATTGAACTTCTTGATATGATTATATATATAGAGTTATAAATTGTAGTTATTTTTGTCACATCCAAAACATATTAACATACAAAATAAAGATAATTGTAAAATATATATTTCCTTATCTTATAACTCATAAGTTCATAACCAATGTTTTAGTTTGCTGAATCCAAAAATTAAATAAAATCAAATACTAAATCAAAGCCGTCAATGCAAAATTAAAAAAAAAAAAAAAGAAAACCAAAACGAAAGACCGTCAAAACTCGAATCGTCATCGCCGGAGATGGAGTCGTCATCGCCTGAGTTGGAGTCGTCATCGTCGGAGCTCTAAACATCATCACTGAAGCTCGAATCCTCATCATTGCAACTCCTTACGTTTTCTCGAAGAAAGTCATATGAATCGTTTTCTTCTCACTCTATTTCTCATTTTTCAAGTAAAACAAAAAAAAAATGAAGAAAAAAATATGGGTCCTTGTAAATTCCGCATGACCCGTTTTGGTACATTCTGTAAAAGATTCAGTTCAGCAAAAGACTCAGTCCCACAAAGATCCGTCCTGCGAAACCCGCAAATTTGTAGGCTTAGAAAATGTCATCTCATTACCATCCCGTGATAGTACTTTACGGGTCATACCCGCAGTACATGTCCATAGTTGCCATTTCTATTTTCAGTTTAAAACTTTTTAAAATGGTTAGCTGTGCGTTTCAAACAAAATCTGAGTCGTTGATTCTCTTAAAATTTATACTCAACAATGATTAAACTCATCTTAGTCTATAGTTTAGTCGTTGTCAAGTGTGAGTTGTACCAGAAGTAAATTAGTATAATTCATATCCACTTTCTATAAATTATTGTATATTGGTTGCATTTTAAAATTCTAGGTTGTTAGTGTTAATAATAAAATTTATACTATAGGAATTACAACAAATGTTTTTCTTTTAATTTCCTGATAGTGAAGGGGATCAAAAATTAAAATAGTATGTAATCCCTTTTCTAGAAAGCATATTCCATTGTTTACTTTTCAAATCATTTATATATCTTGATTCAACGAACCCCTTCGATTTTTCTATCCCACTTATAATATTATTCACAGTTGAAAGAATCTTTGTACAAATATACCATTTCGAATCATTCATTTATAAATTTCTCTTAAACAAAACAAATACTCTAAACATATCGCATTCCTTTTAACTACATTATACACACGGTCATCAGATCACCACCGTTTGAAGTTTGATTAGTAATTCCAACATTGATTTTTTTAAAGTGATGTAACCATCTGAATGTTTTTGGTCATTGTAATCATTGATCAATGATCTTTCAATTTAAAAAATTGAAGAATGTTTATGGACCGCGTGACTCCGGAAACATTGCAAATTTTAGTGCTTATGATTTTCCTCATCAAATAAAGGAAATATCCTTAATGATTGTACTATTTATATGCATTTATAATTATATTTTATATACAGAGTGCGACCCTTCCGAATGCCAGAGAGTTTAAATCTTGCGCATCATCGTACATATAAGTATGTTTACAGGTCTTAAAACTACTTATAAACTAGATTTTAACCCGCGCGATTGAGCGAAATTATTTATAATTTATGTTTTTAAATTATATTTTTATGATTAATGATATTTTAAAACTTCGGTTTGTGCTCATATTGTAGTTACTAATTTTTGGTTTAATTCGGATCCAGCTGTGAATTTTAGTTTTTGGTTTCTAAAATATATTAAGAGTTTAGTTATTTATGAATAGGTATTTAGTTTTCTTATTTTGGTTTTTGGTTTGAAACATTCTTAGATATTATATTAATTTTTACATAATTTAATTAGAATATTTTTTAATATCTTTATTTTTTATTTGAAATACAAATGATTTTTTTAAAAAAAATATTCTAACAAAATCTATGAAATATCATTTCGGAATCATTTTAGAATATATTTTCAAAAATTTATTAATTAAAATTAAAATTATCATGAAATATAATTAAACTCAATTTAGTTTTTATTTGTAAACTAAAATTAAAATTATATAAAAATTAATAATTTTAATCATAATAACAATTTAAATTAATGAAATTTTGAAAATTAATTTTACACATAATTACAATGATTTAGTTAGAAAGGAATATTCACTTATCTTTCAAATATAAAATAATAATATAAAGATAATTGACAACGATAAATTTTATCAAATGAAAAATAAGTCATATTATAAAATAATTTGGTTAACATTTTAATAACGATATGATTAAATAATATCATATAAAAAAGAACATAACTATTTTAAAATAAAATTCCATTGAAAAGATGAAAGAAAAAATCCTATGTCCGGATCAAGATTTTAGTGTTTTATTAAAATCACATGTTATAACAAATATTGATGATATATTAGGTTAGTCTATGTTTGAGTAATGATGATTAATACATGCACTAACTATTTTAGAAATGGTGATATAATATATTATCCCAAGTCTGAATAAAATATGTTGCCTGAATCACATATTATAGCAATTATATATTTGTATAGTACCACAACTATGAAAATATTAAAGGTTAATTAAATTATAAAAATCATATAGTTGTATAACTATAATTACCAATCATTAAAGCAATGTTGACGTATATTTATGATGCAACACAATTAAATAGAACAATTCTATTAGGTTTTGGCATGCTTAATGTATTAGAATTAATAAAAAACAATTAAAAAAAATAATGCTCAAAATGTATAGTAATTAATAATTGTAATGAAACTAATTAATGTTGTTATTTATTAAAATAGAGGTGGCAGTTGTAATATTAAAAGTAAGTTAAGGGAATTTTAAAATATCTCATATATAGTTGTATTAATATATATTCTAGTGAGATATGAGTAAGTCCAAAACTTAAATGATAACATTGATAAGTTGATAAAATTTAGGATTCTGCTTTAATAGATTAGATGCTAATTATAGAATATATTGTATTTAACACCAATTGTACTCCTGTAATAACGTATCCATTTAACAAATTCACCCATTTGAACTTTGCTTCTGAATCTTCAAAAACCAAAGAAATTTTCAAATTTCGCAGAAACATATATAAATAGATCATTCTAATAAGTTTATTTTACGAGCTAGCCAATTAGCATAAAGATATGAATCCCTGAAGATTCTATTATTATAACATATGATTCTTTCTTGGACTTTCTGATACGGATTAAGATAATTGGTAAAAAAATGTTAAAGCAGCGTGGAGCGTCGATCAAGAAATTCTTATAGCTAGACCGTCCGATGGATCCTTTTGAAAACATCAAACCCACACCAGAACAAACACGCTTGTTTCACATAAAAATAGCATTAAAAGACGGCAAAGTAGGGTCCCACACGCCGGTGGCTTCGTCATCCCTTAGCTTATTTAAACTCTTTTTCACATTTAGACACACTCTCAAACCTCGAAGCAGACACAAACAGAAACAAAGTGTAAGAGAGAAACTGAAACAACAAATATGGATGTGTTTGATGGACTTCCAGATGCGATCATCGTCGATATCTTGAACAAAGTTGGTGACGTCAGAACGTTACTCCGTTGTAGTTCCCTCTCAAAACGGTTCAACTCACTCGTCCCTCAGTCCGAGTCACTCAGCCTCCGTCTCGACCAGTTCGTCACCACCGAGTCACAACCCGGTTCTCCCGTCAGCAACAGTTTCCAATCATCATTATACAAGTCATTTCAGGGTTGTATCTCTCGATTCTCTAAACCGGCTAAACCGATCACAATCAAGAATCTTTCTCCCGATATCCCTTCCAAGATTCTCTCCAAGTTTGCCCGGGTCAAGAAGCTTGAAGTCGTGCTTCCCGGCGGCGACGCAAGCCTCGAGAAAGCCGCCGCCGTCAAGTGGAAAGCAGGATATGGTAAAACTCTCGAAACATGCACCGTGTTGGCATTTCGTTCCGCCTCCACCGTGTGTTCTCCTTCCCCTGCTTATTCCGAGAATGAGTCCGACGCCGAGTTCGTGAATGGGCTGAAAACGCGCGTGGAGTGGACGATAAGCGCGTTGATAGCTGCCTCGACACGTCATTTCTTGATGAGCCAAGTCGTGAAGGAGCACGAAGAGATGGAGAGTTTGGTGATACATGACAAAGAAGGAGAAGGGACGGTGGTTATGGGAACAGAGGGGCTGAGAGAGTTTCGAAAGAGTGAGGCGGCGCGTGAGGGAGTCGATGAGCGCGTGGAGAAGAACCGGAGTGTGGTCCCGAGCGTGAGGATGAGCATGAGGCATGCGCCATCGTTGAAGCTTAAGAGTGGTATATGTTTAGAGTCTGCGACGCTTGTGATTGTTAGGCCGAGTGAGGGATACTCTGACATCGGAGATGATGAGCTGGCGACGGAGGCATTCGCCGGAAATTGTATGTACGGTGAAGCGGTCGTGGCGCTGTTAAAGTGTAAGAAGAATGCTTTAGAAATGAATTCTTTTTGAGCTTTTGTTGGGCCTTTAATGGGTCTTGTGGGGGCTTTCTGCATTTTTCATTGAGAGAATTAGGCAAATGCCCAAAATTGAAGCCTATATTAGGCAATTACCCATGATGGGACATAAAAGTAAAGTTTTATACAATTTAGGCTTGTTCAGACGATTTTGCCCTTCTCCCCTTCTCTTTCCCATGTGAAAAATCTGACATCTCTCATTCTCCAACGATTCTTCATCTCTTTCTTACATTCATTTTATTTAAACCACACATATTTTTCACATAACTCTTTTTCACATTCATTTCTTTTTTTTTTCTTGATTTTTGTTTCTCATCTACAATTTTATTTGTAAATGATTTTAAATTTACTCATTTTGATAGAGAAATGAAACTTCAACAATATTTATTTGTTAATATATGATACCTAACGCATGTATTGACATCTACAAAATTTATTAACAACTAACATCTATGTTAGCACTTGTAATATATGTTTTTGTTAACAGCTAACACATCTGTTAACAGTTACAAAATTTGTTAACAGTTAATGCCTCTGTTAATACATCTGGTACATGTATTTGTTAACAGTTAACACTTTTGTTGACATCTACATTATTTGTTAACAGCTAACATAAGTGTTAACATCTCGGCGATTTTTAAAAAAACTTCAATGCTGATTTTTTCAGAATNTACATCTGGTACATGTATTTGTTAACAGTTAACACTTTTGTTGACATCTACATTATTTGTTAACAGCTAACATAAGTGTTAACATCTCGGCGATTTTTAAAAAAACTTCAATGCTGATTTTTTCAGAATGTGGTGAAATTAAAATAATTTAGATTCAAAAGAATAATAATAAAATTGTAATAAATTTTTTCGCAACAATAATTTTTTACAAAAAAAAAGAAAGAATTAAAATGATAAGAGAGTTTGAGAATGAGAAAGAAGAAGAATTAAAGGAAAGAGAGTGTGAGATAGTGTGTCAGGAGAGAGAGAGAGTGTCAGGAAAGAGAATGTGTCAGGAGAGAGAAAGAGTCACATGTAAAAGGAAGGGCAATTTGGTCTTAAAAATTATTAATGTCAAATCGTGGACATTTCACTAATATGAGAGGCTCATAGAGTGTTTCAGCCAATATTCTCTTTTTCATTTGTAAGAATTGTTTTTCTTGCACGTGTGCCGTGTGCGCATTTGTATGGATAGTGTACAAAGTTGGCTTTTAACACTCGACTCGGCGTTACCATTGTGGTCAAAGACTTCGATGCATATACAGATTTTGATCATCTCGTCACCAATATTATGCCATTAATTGAGTCGAACGAACAACGTCACAAAATTTACTAAGCAACCTCTCTTTCCTTAACAGAGTATTTGTTAATAGCACCACATGGCACTTGTTTGATATCTCGTTTGCGCATTTGTATGGATAGTGTGCAATTCATTCGTGTGATCGCGTCAATACTTTTCTGTCTAACTTTTGACAACAATTTCTTTTTAATTTATCGCAAACGAGATATCAAACAAGTGCCATGTGGTGCTATTTTCTTTACTTTTGTTATTTTAATGTACGTGTTACTGTTCTTCATTATTGTAAGGCTTAGTTTGATAAATACAAAATTTGGAGATTTATTTGCAACATGATTTATTGGCAAGACTCAATATCTTAAACTTGTGGAATCTTGATTTAAAGTTTGAAGGTTATTTGATCGGATCATACAAACTATTTTAGTGATATCATGTTATTTTCCGATGACATGATGTTAATGATGTTTCAATTATTAATTTATGATTTGGCTATGCGTGTATCTGCTCTCATAAGATTGGTGAATACATTAGATATGAGATTTTTATAACCATCATTAAAATAAAAAAGAGAGATAAGTGTGACTTATTGAAACATATTATGATGTATGATTTATATTTTGAACCACATAACACTGTTATTTAACTTATTTTAACTATTGTTTAGACATTTAAAAACATACATAACTATTGATCTATTCAGTCGGTAAAGCAACATCACCTTCATCTTCTAGTTACTTAGAGCATCCACAACGATGATATCCATTTGAGTTCTTAATTTTTGATTTTTTAATTATTATCTTTTTTCAGATAAAAAAAAAATAAATACTAACTAATCGCGAACCAATACGTGTCGTGGAAACCCACAAATAATATAAAGATTCACTAAAAAAAGTTTTTATTTAGAGATTTTTAAAGATGAATCTTAAATTTTTTGTGGATTCACTGATTATTTAATTATTTTTTCTCTAAAGATTCTTTTATAAAGACCATCGTTGCGGATGCACTTATGACAAGTGGAACGATTTTGGAACAATCTATTGGTCTTATATGACTTTTATTTAAGGCATAAAGAATGGACGAATAATTGATTCTGATATCATTAGTACACCTGATCAAACATGGGAATCATTGTCGTAGCTACTAATCGGCAGCATGACCAAAAGGATGTTGTTGATTAGCCACTGACTCACTAATTGAATTACGTTACTATAAAATTCAAAGCCGTGGAAGTATATAAACATGGGGTTTAGAAGATGGAAAAAGTGGTCCATACATGTTACATGATTACCAATAAGCTTTTGTTCTTTAAAACAAATGTGATATTATACAGAATCCCTTATTATTGTCTTTTATCTCTTATTATTAACCTTTGTTTCGGAGTTTAGCGCAACTATTTCCCCATAGGCACGAATAATGACGGAATCCAATACTTTAAATTGGACACCTTTAAAATGATGGATACTTGATCATCAACCATCAAATTATGTAATATATATTTATAAACTATATACTGATTTGATGGTTAACATTGTCTGATAACAGTTAAACAATTAGAATCGATGTTCAAGAATTCGCTAGGCGTTATGCGTATGCTCGGTCTGGGCCTAACGCCTAATAAAAAAGCGAAAATCAATCGGGGAGTAAATTTAAGGTTTTTAATATTGTTTAGGGTTCTTAATATTAGTTTTGAGGTTATATATTAAATACATGTCATATTATTGTTGTTGGTGTGTGGTCTAGTGGTTAGTGCCTCTGTTTTAAAAGAGCCCAACCCGAGTTTGACGGCCTTACAGCCTTTTTTGCATTTTTCTTTTTTCTTTTTTTTTTTAGGTTTATTAGATCTAAAAATACAAAACAACCCTTGTTTTCAACCTTCAACATGTATATCTCAAAGCCGTCTTTTTTTTTCTCGACGAGTTCTTTGCTTTTTCTTCTTATTCTCATGTGTTTTAATCAAAATATATCAAATCTACAACATAGTATATGATTTGGAACTTCAAATATACAAAAAGATGAACTTTTTCGTTTTCACCGATTAAATAACCGAACAACGTCAACTTGCCACACTTGACGGCCGAGTAACGTTTTTCCGGCGAGTATTCAGTCCTAGGCGGCGAGTTTTCAAACATGGATTAGAATACAAAGAAAGAAGAAAGAGTTTATTTGTGCAATAGTCAAAAAGAAAAAGAAAATTAGTTTTATAGGTAAGAGTTAGATCACCCACAATGAAAGTGTTGAAACTTGTTTTCAACTGTTGACATTTTCCAATGAAAATGTTGAATTTTGAAACAATCATATGTGACATTAACAAGTTTTATAAACTTACAACATTTGAAACCTTTATTTTGTGGGTTAGCTTTTCTATATGGCGGAATTAAATTGGAAGAAATTGATGGATAGATTTTTCTGATTTTTATTTTCACCCAATAATTCAAACTTATTTATTTTATAATAGATTTTTTAAATATATATATATATATATATATATATATATCTATATCAACATTTATAATTTTTTACAATCTATAAATATGGACTACTCTCATTACGTTTGGATATCAAAAAAATTTTAGAGAAATTTAGAGAAACTATTTTAATTTTTTAAATGAATTCTAATTAATTTTAGTTTTAATATTATTTTCTTTTAAAGTAAAGTAAGTGTATAAATTAAATAAAATTTATAGAAATTATGTTATTTTGGTTTTTAAGTTATACAATAAAAATATTATTAATATGTAGTTATTATATTGTAAAATATAAAAACATGAATTAAAAATAGTATAGTGGGACAAGGTGTTGAATTTTTTAAAACAAACTATTGTAAAGGTTAAAAATGAAATGGGTGTTAAATAAATGAGGTGGAAAAGAAAGAATATGATGTGAAATGTTAAAAAAAAAAAAAAGAGGATGTTAAAACCATTATACATTGTCATATATTTTTGGATAATTAGTAACTAGTTGCATTTCTCCGCGCAAACGCAGGGCCAGAATCTTTGTTGTTTGTTGCGTATGTTTTTTTCGATTGTTGGTTTAGTGAACTCTTCTAATAACACCAAATAATGATGAAATAGAAAGAATGTAGCAAGAGTGTAAAGTGAAATATTGTATATATAATGTGTGAATTATTATTTATATACGAAGTAAGGTTTATAAGAATAGCTAAGCTGTTATATAGTTTTTAGTGTGTAAAAATATGTGTTTATCTTGTTTTTGTTTTTCTTTTTGCGGTAAATAGTTTTTATAGTTTAAGTTAATATTTATTGTTTGGGTTTCATTAGATAGGTTTTTGTATATGGTTTTTTGTAAGTTTGGGTTTTGTTCATGAATATTGTGGCATTTTTATTTACGACGTCGTGTAGGAATCCATTCGCTGGAATCTAATAATCTATTAAAGTTGATTGTGAGAAATGTTTTCAATGAAATTATAGTAGCTAAAAAATGTAAGAGAAATTACATATCCATTTAATAAATAACGAAAAATAATTAAGTTTTGTTGTTTTTTTTTATAATTTTATTTCATATACATAATTTTTTTGAAAATATAGATTAGGGAATATGTCATAATAGAAAACATACATGATAGTGTCGTTTTTTTTTGGTTTTTTTGACTGTTTGTTTTTCGATCAATTTTTAATTATTTTTATGTTTGAGCCCGTTAAGCTATTGGGTTCGTCCCACTATTTTGGACTTTAAAACAATAAGTCCAAAGAAAAAAAAACATAAAAACATTAAAAACAAAAAAAAATCCATATGATACTTACCCAAACGAAAAAACCAAAAATACATGCTAGCTATGTGGTTTGAACCCACGAACTTACGAACTTGATTAAACGCTTTATACCATTCAGGTAAAGTGTAATTCATTGTTTGTAATCATTTTAGAAAGACTATAGGCTTTTAAAAATTAAATGTGCAGGACCCACAAAATGCTGACGTGATGCGTTGTGGAGCCTAGAAACTCTACTATTATAATAAAGATTTATGTTTTTAGTTTGATTAGAGATAAATATGAAGAGAAAGTAGGAGAGAAGAGGTGATTTTGAATAATTAATGATTTGTTTCAAAACTTAGAGAAAGAGAAGGGGAATTAGTGTATTGCTCTTTTCATAACGTACAAGGGGGTTCTCTTTATATAGGGATTACAATAGACCGTCATATAGGAAAAAGGAAAGAGTACAAATATTATTGCAACTAGGAAAAAGAAAACATCCAAAACCAATATGGAAAAGGTTTCTAGCCGCCAAATCCTAAACCTATGTGTCTAGGTTTAGTAAACCTTTACGCAATAGGTTTATGGTCGGTCCGATTATGGGCTATCCACAATCTGGTTCATAACAATCCCCCTTGGATGTCATAACCGTATAGAGTTTGTAATGTGCTTAATGTTGCCTCATTAAAACCTTTACTCGGAAAACCCAATTGGGACAAAACCATGGTGAAGGAAAAAGAGTACAACACACATTACTCCTCCTGATTTGGACCTCACTGATAGTCCTTAATCCTATGCACTCCAATCTGATGTATTAACTTCTTGAATGTCGAGGTTGGTAGTGACTTGGTAAAGAGGTCGGCTGAATTGTTACTGGAACGAACTTGGACCACTCCAGCTTTCTGTAACTTGCACATGATGGTTGTAGATCCTAAAATCCACACTAAGTATTTTGTAGAGATCGAGAGTTCAATCAGGGGAAGAGAAATGATGTGGGCAACGATGCTCTTAAACACAACGATACAATCAGAATTTGGTTGACAAAAATAGACTTTTATTGAATATGGAATTTGTTTGCAAGATGAACAAGATCGAAAAACAACAATGAAAAGTAAAAGTAACAAGCGAACTAGAGATCTATGGAGTGAGGTCGATGTAATTAGTAAATAGCTCTAGGGTTTTCCGTGTCCTCTCTATGCTCCGCCATAGCTCCTTTTTATAGCCTTCTTCTCATCTAACTTTTCCCGCGATCTTCAGGGTTCCATTTTGACCTCGCCGTGTTCGTTGGCCACGATGTAATAATAAAACATGGGCCTAGGCCTTATTGTGGTCATTAGATTTAGCCATGTTCTCTTTTTACTCCACGAGTGCTTCGTGGACTCGCTTATATAGTTCTTTGATGGGCTTCGCGTTAATGGGCTCGATTTTGGGTCCAACATTTTCCTCCCAGCCTTTTTAGTTTGAGGAAACTGAAGAGGCGAACTGCTCTAATAAACCGTATGTCGCCGCGTGTCTTGGGAAGCGTGGTGCCACGTGTACCGCTCTTGTCGGCCAATTCCTTCCATCGTGCGGCTGAGATTGATTGTCGACGTCATCTGCTTAGGGAACCGCTTTTGGATCTCTATTAAATAGGTCATCTTCTTCGTTGAGGGGATAAGTTTTCTCGCAATTTCTTCAAATCTTTTTCTTCTCTTGCTTTGTCTTTAGTTCTCGATACTCCAATGGAAAACGAGAGATTCACTCCTCATCTTCCCACTATTATTGAGGGAAAGCACCTCGAAGGCATCCACGAGCTTTGGGGAGTTTCCTACAATGTGGAAATCGATATCGCGGAGGAAAATGAGACTCCCGAGATCGTTCGCGATGGGTATTGCAGTGCTTATGTAACACACTTAAAAGATTGTGGTATGTCATTCTCGCTTCCTTTGTTTCTCTTTGAAGCGCTTGCCAAGGTTGGAATGGCTTTCACTCATATGTGCCCCAATTTCTTTCGCCACTTTATGGGTTTGTGGATTCGAGCTCAGGAATAGGGTCTTAAGTTCAGCTTAGAGGAGTTAAGACAGCTCTGTGCGGTTAAACACAATGCGCGTTTTCCTGGCACCACGCTTCTTTCTCCTCGCAATGGTCGCACTATCATTGAGGGCACTCCCGTTCGTGATGATTGGTGGAAAGAAAAATTCTTCAGCCTCGGTTGGAGACTTAAACTTCAGCCGACTTACGTTCATACCACTTTCTCTTAAGGCTCGTTTCCTCTCTTTTTTTCTGTAGATCTTTTTGGATACGTCCTGATGACGCCCGAGCTTTGGGGTCTAATAGAAACTCTACGCCGAGGTCAAACTCGTTTGTCTTCCTTCAATATGCAGCGTATACAGGCTTCTCTTGCCACTCCTCCGGGACGAGGTCGTGCCGAGCCTGTTGGTTTGGCAAATCTGATTCGTTCTCGTGGTGTTCGTCTCAGTGAGTCCTACTTTCCTTTGAGTTCGTTACGTGCTATAGAATTGCTTTCCTCATTTGACTGCACACGTATTTTCCATGTTTTGTTTATTTGTAGGGTGTGGAGGAGGAGTCCTTCTCCTGATGGCTCGGATGTGGCTCCCGAGGTCAGGCCGTCGGAGAGAGTTCAAAAATCTTCCTGAGGTCCTACACTTTGTTCAAGGTCGAACGTCCCGGAGGAGAGTATCACCAATATGGTGGTTTACTTGTTAACTGGTTTAATTTTGTTAGTTAAGAGACCAAGATTCGTGTTATTTTACTATGATTTTAATAATGCTTGGTAAGTATGAATGCGCAAGAACATTTGTGTTTTTTCATAGATCCCAATGATATGATCAGTGTAGATTTTGGATTCCTTTGTATTAAAAGAACAAAAAAAACAAAATTCAACCATCATATTTTAATTACGGAACGAACACGTTTGCTACCAATTAAAAATAACATTAAGAGAAGAAGAAACTCCCCTTTTCCTTATTTAAACTCTTTCCATATAGATAAAACTCTAAGCAGACATCATAACAGAAACAAAGCGTAAGAGAAGAAGAAACACAAACTCAAAAATAACAAAGATGGACGTTTTTAATGGACTTCCAAATGCTATCATTGTTGATATCTTGAACAAAGTAGGTGATGTCAAAACCTTACTTCGTTGTAGTTCCCTCTCAAAGCGATTCAACTCACTCGTCCTCATCCTCCAACTCGAGCATGTCATCACCACCAAGTCACAACCTGGTTCTCCTGTCGGCAACATATTTTCATATCCTTATTGGACTCATCTCACGGTTATCAATCTCGATTCTCTAGACCAATCACATTCAAGAATCTTTCTCCGAGTATCCTATCCAAGACTTTATCCCTGTTTGACCGGATCAAGAAGCTTGAAGTCGTGCTTCCCGGCAACGACGCAAGCCTCGGCCTCGAGAAAGGTGCCGCCGTCAAGTGGAGAGCAGAGTGCGGTAAAACTCTCGAGACCGACGCCGAGTTGGAGACTGAGCTGAAAACGCGCATGGATTGGACGATAAGCGCGTTGATGGCTATGTCGACACGTCATTTCTTGATGAGCGAGGTCTTGAAGGAGCATGAAGAGATGGAGAGTTTGGTGATTCATGACAAAGAAGGAGAAGGGACGGTGGTTATGGGATTAGAGGGGCTGAGAGAGTTTTGAAAGAGTGAGGCGGCGCGTGAGGGAGTCGATGAGTGCGTGGAGAAGAAGCCATCAATGAAGCTTAAGAGTGGTGTATGTTTAAAATCCGCGACGCTCGTGATCGTAAGGCCGGGTGAGGGATATTCTGACGTTGGAGATGATGAGTTGGCGACGGAGGCATTCACCGGAAATTGTATGTACGGTGAAGCGGTCGCGCTGTTAAAGTGTAAGAAGAATGCTTTAGCACATACCCATTAGCAAATCGAGGAGGAGTTCGCCACGTGTTCACTATTTTGATTTTTTTATTTTTTGTTTGCTTTTTAAAAAAAAAAAATTAACCGAGCCAATCACGGATCGCCATGTGGCATGGAGTTCGCGAAACAGTGATTAACCAGACTCATTAAGATGAACTTGCAAGAGATGGGTTCACCGAAATTATCTTATTTTATTACTATTTTTTGTTGAAAAACGTGTAAATTTCTGCCATGAACCTTTAATGCAAGATGTTCTTAAAAATGAACTCTTTTTCAGTTTTGTTGGGCCTTAGGCCATCCCCATTAGGGAATTATAAGGGGTTTAAGTGGGGGATCACAGGGTTTTCGAGGCAAATAGTAGTGAAACTGGGTCGCCGGAGGTCAACTGTAAGGGGCGGTTCACGGACTGTAGTACGGGTCCCATGACACGTGGCGGCCCGCCATTAATCCAATTTTTTTTTTTTTGAAAAAAGTAAACGAAAAAAATAATAATAAATAAAAAAATCCAGGTGGCGAACTCCACCTCAATATTACTAATGGAGATACCCTTATAGTGGGTCTTGTGGGTTCTCTCTGCGTTTTTCATTTGTTTAGAGATGTTTTTTTCTGGTACGTGTGCATGTGCTCACTTTTGTATATACATTGTGTACAAAGTTTGCTTCAACACTTGGCTTATCGTACCATCTAGCTCAATAATATGGTAGGAATGCTGCCGATAAACGTCAGAAATATATTATGAAGACCCGTTTTCATTAACTGAGTATTTGTTATAGAATGTAAAAGTCATTAACAAGACTGAAAATGCAATTAATTCGCGTTGATGCGTTTATATCTCTAATCTTCAACTGACAACAGCAACTTACTTTAACTTCATCTTGACATATAAACAAGTGCCATGTGGTGCTATTCTTTATTTCTGTTATTTTAATGTGGACTGATGGATCTCTAGATCTGTTACGTGTTACAGTTCTTCACTATATTGTAAGGTTTAATTTGCTAAATACCAAAACTGGAGATCTACTTGCAGCATGATTTAATTAGTGGCAAGATTCAATCTCTTAAACATGTGGAATCTTGATCAAAAAAAAAAAAAAACATGTGGAATCTTGATTAAGAAATTGAATTTTTTTGATTAAATCATACGCTATTTTACACGATATCATGTTATTTTTATCCGTTGACATGCTGTTTTACGATTTTGCTATGCAAATACCTACTCTTATAAGATGGATGAAAGACTTCACACATTAGATGGGAGGGTTTTCAATAATCATTAAAGAAAAATATAAACAAGTGTCACTTACTGAAACATTTTATTCTGTAGATATTCATTTGTATTCTGGACCAACCTAACATTCGCATTTTAATATTGTTTAGACGTTTTAAAAACATACATTTTCAGCCGCTAAAATAACATCACCAGATAGTTGTTTCTAATATCAATACTTTTATTTAAGGCATAAAGAATCACCAAATAATTGATTCTAATTATCATTAGGAACGCCTAATTTAAGCTGGTAATAATTGTTGTAGCCACTAAGCGGCATCATGACCAAAAGAACGTTGTTGATTAGCCACTGACACTAATTTAATCACGTTAGCCAAGTATATAAACATGGAGTTTACAAGATCAAAAATATGGTCCATACACGTTACATGATTACCAATTAACTTTTGTTCTTTTGAACCAATATAGTATTTACATTAGCATCTCTTATAATTAAATTTTTTTAGTGCGGAGATTAGCTCAACTATTGCCAATACGTACGAATGATGACTAAATCCAATACGTTATTTAAAAGACCATGATTCGAGTTGTTTCAATATATAAACAGATTCAGCATGTGGTTAAAAGACCATGACTCGAGTTTTACTTCACTAAGATTTTAATAATGGTTGGCAAACTACAAACGCCTTAACTAGCAAGAACATTTGTTTTTTTCTCTCATAGATCCCGATGATTAGTGTAGATTTTGGCTTAGGATTCCTTTATTCTTTTAAAATATGAGTACGTTAAAATTATGGTTGATAGAAAAGCATGTGAGACGATCATTTAATCATCATATTTTTATTCATGATTGATGCTACCAACCAAAAACTATACAAGTAGTTTTCAATTTATTCTTAACAAAACTGATTAAATAAAGAAAAGAAACAAAAAACAAATTGCAAAGGGTTATGGCAGAAAGCTAGAAACTGCTAAAAGGCTAAAACTTAAAGAGAAAGATGAAGAGAAAAAGCAACATTTTAAACCAAAAGAAAAAAACACATTATCAAAAGCTAAAGCATCTTCTTCAAGAACAATCTTATATATCTAATAAGAAACAAGTGTACAAGTGAGAATCAAGTTGAAAACACACAAGAAAGAGATGATCAGAGGGGGTGGAGGAAAGTCTTCAGGTTACTCTGCAGATCTCATGGTTTGTTTCCCATCAAGAACACACTTGTCTCTACCTTCTAAATCCATTTGCAGCCCTTCTCACAACCTAAACCGCCGTCAAAACCCTCCTCCTCCTCCTCATCACCACCGCCGCAGCTTCAGTAAGCTCTCGGGAAGCGGCGGCGTCCGTCAGAGCCGCGTAAGGGAGATAGCTGAAGAGCCAACGTCGCCGAAAGTCACGTGCGCCGGTCAGATCAAAGTGCGGCCGAGAAAACGCGGAGAAGGAGGAGGCAAGAACTGGCAGTCGTTGATGGCGGAGATAGAGAAGATACATAGAAGCAAGTCACAGAGTAAGTTCTTGGGGATCAAGAAAGATGTCATGGGGTTCTTGACTTGTCTCCGTGACTTTGATTTCCGGTGTTTCGGTGCGTTTCCTCCGGTAGATGCAATCTCCGACCAAGAAGAGTTGGAGGAGGAGGAGGAGGAAGAAGACGATGAAGATGAAGGTTCAGTGATAAGGACGTATTCAGGGACAGTTTTCTCAAACTGGTTGACGTTTCTACACGAAAAGCAAAACGTTGAAGAGTGTGTGGACAAAAATGAGAAAGCGTTTTCAGACAATGTTGAAACAGCGGTTCCACCGCAAAACGCGTTGTTGCTGATGCGGTGTAGGTCTGCGCCGGTTAAGAACTGGTTAGAGGCAGAAGAGGAGAAGAAAATAGAGACAGAGGATTGTGATAAGACTAGAAAACGGAGTGGAGAAGAGGAGAAGGAGACAGTGAGCAAGAAGAAAGATCTGAGATCATTGATGGAGGAAGAGGAGGAGAACAATGTGAATATGGTGGTGAGGGATTACGATACAAACTATTACAAACTCTCTTCAGACATAGCCAAGGAAACTTGGGTTGTTGGTGGAAGTCAAGATTCTCTGTTTCGAAGTAGAAGCTGGAATCTATGATCTTTGTTCTTGATCATTGTTAATCCCTGTTCTTTTCTCTTTTTACTTTCTTGTGGGTTAACTTATAAGTAAATGCTTTTGATTTAATAATAACATCTCTGTGAATAAATTTGAGACTGCCTATATCAAATGTTTTTAATAAGAACCCGAAACATTCAAAATTTTTAATAACATATATGTACCGAATATTGATCTTACTTCCTAATATATCTCCAAAATACTTTAAGATATTACTAAACATCTAAAATAATTATCTATTTACATGAAGGTTGGTTAAAAGTGGCGGCTGAAATTTGAAAATTTTAGATTAAGATTTTATTTTTATTGAATAATGTTTCTCATTTTTTAAGAACTTGGTTTTTCGTTTTATGCTTTCATTTATTTGGTTTTCTTTATATTAATAACTATGTATACCATTTGATTTTGAATGATCACGTTTGATGTTTGTTTCTTATTTCTAAATCAATTTTTACTTATGTTTTAGTTACAAAATAGTTACACATCAGGTATTTTAAATCCGAAGAACCGATTTTACTTATGTTTTGATTACAAAGTAGGTACAAATAAGGTATTATTAAACCAAAGTACCGATTGGGATCCGATCCGAAAGTATAACGGGTTATAACGATTCTTTAAAGATTTACTAGTCCTGATCCGAGCCCGATAAAACCCGAACCGAACTTTCATATAATCCGAACGAAGTTAATTTTTATAAACTCGAAAAATCGAGACCCGATTGGACAAAACCGAAATCCTATTGGGACCCCGAATGCCCAGGCCTAATACAATCAAATTATCATCTTGAAAATTTAGACAAATAATATTTACTATATACAATAGGATATCCAATCACAATATCACATTGGAAGGTTTGTTGAAAATGAGTAGAAAACTAAAACTATGCGGGCTTTGTTTTGTTTGTTGGACTCAAAATGAACAATATCATAAGTTGTTGGACATTTTAGTTATATAGTTCATAGTACTTCATAGTTGTAACATAGACTAGAAAAAGAAAAGAACAGGCTCATGACATGCTTCAAGCCCATACCCAAAGACAAATCTGACTATCTAAGAAGGATACCACATTCTTGAGCCAAAGAAGGAAGGCACTAATTGACACCAAGACCAGCTTTTACTTAGACGAGGAAACAACGCGGAAGCCAGAAAGCAGCTGAATCTTGGTTGGTAAGTCAAAAACCGAGTAAGAATTATCGTTTTCATAATAGCCTTTCCTAATTTGGGAAACCAACATTACCATATTACGAGTCAGTCTTATGTCTTTACTCAGATTTTACTTACCTAAATTAGAAACTCATTGACTAAAGCAAGACCAATGTCAAGACTCAAGAGACTTATTAATCAACTAAACGGACGTCATCTTCTTTTATTAGGAAAGACTTAATAATTTCCACGCTGTTTCCATGAGCTACAACTTATCATGAATCTACATATTATATAACTTTACCCTTTTGATGAAGTTGTAGATTATACATTTTGTAGTAAAGCTTTTTAAAAATAAATAGAAGCAAAGAGTGATAAAGATGATGAAGAGAGGTGAAGAAGAAGAAGAAGCTTTGTCTCTCTCACATTCTCCTTCTTCTCCTATGCAAAACTCATGGAAACATGATCACAAACTCTTCCAAGGAGAGTCGTCTTCAAGTTCGACTAGGTTCTGTCTCCCATCCCCGTCTGATTACTCGCTTTCAAGCTACTTCTCAAACGTAATGTGTGAAGGTTCGTCTCAGTTCACTTCTCCTCCGTTTGATGAGAAGATGATGGCGACAAGAAACAACTATAACCATGATCTGAGTCTGATCTGTGAAAGTCTCCTCCATCGTTTGAACATCAGACAAGAACAACAAGAGAAGAACCATCACCATCTGAGCAATTACGAGTTATTTTCTTGTAATCTGAGTTACAAATCTGTTCATCGTGAAGGAACCTTCAACAACTACTCTGTTCCATCATACTCTCCTCGGAAAAGAAGCTTGTCTGATCATCATCATCGTCAAGGAAGTAGGGATCATCCGAGTCTTTGTGATTTCCAGGGATATGTTTACTTGATGGCCAAAGATCAGCATGGATGCAGATCTTTGCAGAGGATTCTTGAAGATGGAAATTTTCTAGACACTAAGATCATTTTCAACGAGGTGATTCCTCATGTTGTTGAGCTTATGATAAATCCTTTTGGGAATTACTTGATGCAGAAGTTATTAGATGTTTGTAATGAAGAACAGAGAACAATGATCATACTCATTGCTACTTCAGAACCAGGACTGCTTGTCCGTATATCCCTCAACACTCACGGGTAAATGATAATAATGATGTTTAACCAAGTTAATCAACTTGATGTTAAGTTAAACTTCTCTGTTTTTGTGTGTTTGTGTGTGTTGAAGTACTCGAGTTGTCCAGAAATTAGTGGAATCAATCAAAACCAAGAAGCAGATCGTTCTAGTGATGTCAGCTTTGAGACCTGGATTTCTCAACCTGACTAAGGATTTGAATGGGAATCATGTGATCCAACGTTGCTTGCAGTGCCTTGCTACACAAGATAACGAGGTAAATAAAACAATACCTTTTCATTTTTCTCACTAATAAACACATCAAAATCACTGAGTAGTTTTTGTTTCATTCTTTATAGTTCATATTTGAAGATGCTACTAGGTGCTGCATCGATATCGCGACGCATAAACATGGATGCTGTATTCTACAAAAATGCGTTGCTTATTCCACTGGACAACAACGAGAGAAGCTCATAACCGAAATCTCTAGAAACAGTCTCTTCCTTGCTCAAGATCCTTATGGGTACTATACACTAAGAACTAAACCTTCTGAGTCTAAGAGAGTATTCACTATATACATAACTAACTTTCTTGATACAAACACAGGAACTACGCAGTGCAATTCATTATAGAAATGAGGGATTTTCAAGCGACTGCCATGGTTCTTGCGCGGTTAAAAGGGCATTATGTAGAGCTCTCAACGCAGAAATTTAGTAGTCATTTGGTGGAAAGATGCTTAACACAGTGTCCAGAGAGTCATCCTCAGATAGTGTTTGAACTCATCTCTGTCCCTCGTTTTGATCTTCTAGTTCAAGACCCTTATGCAAATTTCGTCATCCAAGCTGCTCTTTCTGTCACCAAGGTACAAGTTTTGAGATCTTTCTAATTTTAACCCTAACTTCTGATTGGAGGAGAGTGTATTAATTATAAGATTATGGGTGGAATGAAACAGGGTTCACTTCATGACATTCTCGTTGAAGTCATTAGGCCTCACTCTAATTTACGTAAAAATCCTTATGGCAAATGGATTTTCTCAAGAAATCTCACGAGGAGATGAAGATCAGTAAGGCTTGTAGTGGTGGCTGAGTCTGTAACTTCAGAATATGTTGTTGTTTCTTGTTCCTTAAGTTTGTTTTATGAATGAATTCAAACCTACTTAAGTGATCTCTTTAAGTCAATGTCTACCTCCCTACAATGCTCTCTTGTTATTTTTGTTGTTGTTGCAGTCGCGACTGATTAGTTTTTGACATAGATATCATTCATAACTTCTAACGGGGTTCGTCTTATGAATTTATTATGCCTACCTTTTTCCATTTAATGTAATTTAGTTATAATATTGAACACATTTGACCCAAAATAAAATAAAAATAATATTGAACACATAACTCTTAGGCAAGGCATAACATACTAACATGCATTAGAGCACCCCCATCAGTGAACCTTGGGATGAGGGTTCACAACTCTTTTTTTCTTTTTTTTTCTTTTTTCGTTTGTATATTTAAAAAAAAAAAAATTGGTCAATCGCGGATAACCACGTGTCGTAGACCCGCAGAACAGTGGTAATACAGGTTCACCATACATAACCCCAAAGCCACAGGTTCATCAATTATATTATATTTTAATTTTTTTTTTGGTTTCCGTGAGAGACACCCCCATGAACGAACCCTCATTGGGGGTGCTCTTAACGGAACATAGCCCAAATCTAAAATTTTAAAATATTAAAAAAAATCAAAAATAAATACATAAATTTGGTTTATAATTTCGTCATACTCTTAACTTTATAGTTTATAATTTCAAATTTCAAAATTCAATAATATGTAAGATTGATACACATTTTTTTTGGTTGACACAAACACACAAGCTTTACGTAGATGAGGATGCAAAATATACATTGGGATGGTGACGTGAAGCAAGGAAACTACGAGGAAGCCATCAAGCAACTGAATCTTGGTTGGTAAATCCAAAACCGAGTAAGACTATCGTTTTCATAATAGCCTTTCCTAATTTGGGAAACCAACTTAATGACATTCCTCGTCAGTCTTATGTGTTTACTAGAAACTTATTGACTAAAGCAAGACCAATGTCAAGAGACCTAATCAACTATACGGACGTCATCTATTATATTAAGAAAGATTTAATATATTGTTCACTAGCTGTTTCCATGAGATACACGTTATGATGAATCGTACATCCCTTATCTATACTATTATTTGAGAAGTAAATTTGCCTAGTTGTCATGTTCTCCATAATTTTAAATAGTTTTTCTTATTTGTCATATTTTTTTATTTCTTACGAATGATTAATTATTACTCTTAATTAACAATTAGATTTATTAATATATAACTAACTATAAATTAAAAATGAATTAATATAAAATTAACTTTAAAAAAAAATAAAGTTCATTGATTAGATGATTATCACTATTTAAAAAATAGTTTATTGATTAGCGATAAACTAAAAAAAATTAATATATAATTGGCCATTAATTAAAATATTTTTATTGATTTGATAAATTATCATTATCTAAAATAATTTCTATTATGTTATCTGTTAATATATAATTAACCATAAATTGAAAACAAATTTTATTGATTTGATAATCATCCTTATATAAAAATAGTTTATGTTGTGTTATTGAAAAAAAAATATTTTACATTAGATTTTTTTAATGTTTTCAAATTTATTTAATGCAATAAAAGATAATTTAATAATATTGAAAAATTTGGTTATATGGAAAAACTTAATATTTACTTTATTACTAAATATTTGAAAAATAGTATTTTTAGTTTTTGTTACGTGATAAAAATATTTCTGTTACGATAAAAAAATTTGTATATAAAGAGATTATTGTTTAATTTTTGTTTGTTAATATTTTAAATGTATGAACATTAATTTATTTTAATTTTATTTTAACTGATAGTGTATTCATTTTAAAATATTTGTAAAATTATTATGCCCGCACGTGCGAGCAAAACACCTAGTATATTAAAAGAGAAGCATAATAATAAATGCGTTTACACCGTAATTAACACGTGTCAACCTCACAATCATTTGATAATAAATACGTTTACACACTAATATTTTAAATTTATTATTTAATGGGTTTATATACTATTTTTAATTAGTTCATTTTTTCTACATTTTTAGTCTTTGTATTAATAAATTAAAACTTTCTACGTGAAACTAATGAATAATATCTTTATTGTAAAAATGTTACAAAATCATTAAGATACGCATCAACTAAAATGTTACGATGAAAATATTTGTATAAATTGAAAGTTTTATACCTTGCCGAAGTTGGTCATGGTTGAGGTTAAGGTACACAATAACAACAAATAAGGTGATTGATTATGAATTAAAGAAGCTGAGGTGAAAAACACCACACGTAAAGTCAGATCTTTAGTTTAGTCAAATATTAATATTTTTATAAATTTTTCATATCATACCAAGAATTAGAAACAAAATCAAATTGATAGAAAAAATCAGGAATCAGAAAAGCTTTAAAAGAAATAAAAATCACAAAAGCGATTAAAAACAGAATTCAGGTACCAATGGAAGATGTCACTTTGTAATATATATTATTTTTATTGTTTACGAGGTACAATTTGATTTATTTCATATGAAATTTTTTTATTAATTTCTAGGTTTGTTTTATTTTTACTTAATTTTATTTAAGATTTACTATCATGTGTTATTTTGAACAAAAATGTTTTAAATCTTAATAAACGGTATATTCATATATTTATCATCACATTTATATACTTTTACATATACATACATGTACACATTGACATGAACGCCTATATAATTAAATATTCACCACGAGTGAGAATTTTAATTCTTACTAAAGTTGAATTTTTTTTAATGCTTTCTTTCACTATCGCCCAAATTGTAGTGAAATGTTTTATGTTAATAATTTTTTTTTCTTTTTTTTAAATATTATTTAGATTTTATTTGATTTTACATGTCTATAGAAATTATAATAGGAAACTATTAGTTCAAGATAAAATGTCTAAAATTTATATAAACCGAAACCAAACAAATAACAATAGTGTTTTTTGTTATCATCGCAAAAATCAAAAAGCATCAAATATTTAAACCAAACAAACCAAAATAAATATTAGATATAGAATGATAGTTATATTTTAAAAGACTAAGAAAAACAATGTAAAACCTGAACCAATATTTATGCTAAACAGATATAATATCATTTTTATCTTAAAAGTAACAAAAGTAATAATCTTATTATGCGTAAGGCGCGGGTTATTACCTAGTACTATATATATAACATTACCCTTGTTGTTGATGTTGTACATTATACATTTTGTAGTAAAGCTTTTAAAAAAAACATAGAAGCAATTAAAGAGTGATAGAGATGACGAAGAGAGGTGAACTTGGTGTAGAAGAAGAAGAAGAAGAAGAAGAAAAGGAAGCCTGGTCTCTCTCACATTCTCGTCTTCTAAACTCATGGAGACATGATTACAATCTCTTGCTTGGAGACTCTTCTTCGAGTTCGAGTATGTCTTGTCTTCGATCACCGTCTGATTACTCGCTCTCAAGCTACTTTCCAAACGTAATGTCGTCATGAAGGTTCGTCTCAGTTCACTTCTCCACCGTTTGATGCGATGATGGAGACGAAATCAAAACATGATCATGATTTTTGTATCTGTGAAAGTCTCCTCGGTGGTTTGAACATCAGAGAAGAAGAACAAGAGTCACAAGATAAGAACCATTACAAACCTGTTCATCATCAAGGAACCTTCAAGTTCAACAATCACTCTCTTCTATCAAACTCTCTTCAGAGTCTTCGTGACTTCCAGTGATATATTTACTTGATGGCAAAAGATCAGCATTGAAGCAGATCCTTGCAGAAGATACTTCAAGATGGAACGTCTCTAGAGGCCATGGTGGTCATTTTCAACGAGATGATTCCTCATGTTGTTGAGCTTATGATAGATCCTTTTGAGAATTACTTGATGCAGAAGCTATTAGATGTTTGTAATGAAGAATAGAGAACAAAGATCGTACTCATTGTTACTTCAGAACCAGGACTGCTTGTCCGGATATCACTTGACGCTCACGGGTAAGAGATAATAAATCAATATAATTAACTTGATGTTATGTTAAACTTCTCTCTGTTTGACTGTTTTTGTGTCTGGAAGTACTCGAGTTGTCCAGAGATTAGTGGAATCAATCAAAACCAAGAAACAGATTTTTCTAGTGACATCAGCTTTAAGACCTGGATTGCTCGACCTGGCTAGTGATGTGAATGGGAATTATGTGATCCAACGTTGCTTAGTGCCTTGCTACACAAGATAAAGAGGTAAATACACACACACACACACACACACACACAAGACCTTTCCATCTTTTTTTTAACTCTTAAACACATTCAAGAATCTCTGAGTAATTTTTGTTACCACTTTCTGAAGATGCTACTAGGTTCTGCTATTAAGCTAAATGGGCTTCCAACTTAAAACCAATTGGTGATTACTGGATTGGCCCTAACCCTTTACATAGTAGTAGATTCATTCTTATATTTTCGATGTGGGATGTTTCTCATCAATACCCTCCCTCACACTCAGACATCTAGGTATGAAGCGTGGAAAATGTGGGAATAACATCCACAGAGGGCCCAACATCGGTATAGTAATAGCACTTGTAGTAAATTAGGTCAAAGGATCTTATCGCTCTGATACCATGTTAAGGTAGATGGGCTTCCAACCTAAAACCAATTGATAATGAGTGGATTGGCCATAATCCTTTATATATTACTTAAGGTCTCATTGAATTCCCGATGTGGGATATATATCCCTAATACCCCTCCTCGAGATGAAGACTCTTATCGGCCAGAAATCTCAGAATTTATGGCGAGTCAAATACGACAATTATACCTAATCGGAAGGTTAAATACGACCTATATACCTGGTTGGAAGGGTTAATTAATTAATTAGAAGTTTAGGGCTTTTTAGGATCTAGGCTCTGTTACCAATTGGTTTTAAGTTGGAAGCCCATAATAAACCCAAATCTAACATCTGCATCGACATGGCAACGCATAATCATGGATGCCGTATGCTACGAAAATGCGTTGCTTATTCCACTGGACAACAACGAGAGAAGCTCATAAACGAAATCTGTTGAAACAGTCTCACCCTTTCTCAACACCCTTATGGGTAAATATTAACATGAACTAATTAAACCCTCCGTCTCTAAGAGAGTGTTCATTCTAGATAACTTTTTTCTTGATTCTAACACTAGTGAGTGGATGAAAAAACGCTGATTATTTTTCTAAGGAGCTAGCTTAACGTATGCTTAAATTAGAAATTCAAAGTTGTGTATCACACTGTTAGTATATTTATTTACAAAATGATCTATGCTATATCATATTACTGTTGAGATGTAGCAAACATTATTCTAGCAAAAACATAACACAAAGCCTAAATCATTGATGCCAAATCGTCAAATGTGGATGCAGATGATATGAAATGTTAAAAAAAATCTGATTATGTAAGGACACACATTCTTGGTCCAAAGAAGGAAGACACTAATTGACACCAAGGTAAGCTTTTACTTAGAGGAGGATACAAAATATACATTGGGATGGTGACGTGAAGAAAGGAAACTACGAGGAAGGAAGCCATCAAGCAACAGAATCTTGGTTGGTAAGTCAAAAACCGAGTAAGACTATCGTTTTCATAATAGCTTTTCCTAAATTGGAAACTAGCTTAATGATACGAGTCAGTCTTATGTTAAAAAAGAAACTCATTGACTAAAGCAAGACCAGTTTCAAGAGACTTAGGCTCTAACTGGTGATTATTAAAATAGGAATAGAAATGAGTAGGAAAATAATAAGTAGGAACAAAATAAAAGGAATGAAAAGGAATATTTATTACTTTGGTTCCATATCAATTTTGATAAGGAATATTTTTGTTCTATAATTCCTTAGAATTCAAGGAATGACAAGGAATAATACGCAGGAAATATTCCTTATGAATGGTGTTTTTTTAAAGGAATAGGTAGGAATTGGTCATCGATTATATTAAGAAAAGACTTAAAACAACATTGAAATGTCACCAACTCATGTGAAGAAGTAGACGTACGAGCCCCCTTAAGGCCTTAAAACGCGTCCGATTCCGACAATTACGCGGCGGAAAAACGAGCCCCCAAAATGTTTTTCACTATTTTAATATCTTTTGTTTTAATGTTTTAAATAAACCATAATTTTTTTTTCTGTCCAAACTTAAAAAAATGAATTTATCAGTCAGAACTATAAAAGAGTTTTTTCGCCAAAATCAGAAAATTGACTTTTCCGCAAAATCAGAAAAATGATTTTTTTCCGCCAAAACTACAAAACGTTTTTCTGCCAAAACCAAAAAACATGTTTTCCCGCCAAAACCGGAAAACGTGTTTTCCCGCCAAAACACGAAAACGTATTTTTCGCCAAAACCGCAAAAATGTGTTTTACGCCAAAATCGGAAAAATGAGTTTTTCCGTCAAAACCCAAAAACGAGTTTCCCACCAAAACCGGAAAAACGTGTTTTTCCCCCAAAACCGCGAAAAACGTGATTTCCCGCAAAAACGTGTTCGCCAAAACCGCAAAAACATGTTTTCTCGCCAAAACTGCAAAAATGTGTTTTCTCGCCAAAACTGCAAAAATGTGTTTTCTCGCCAAAACCGCAAAAACTTGTTTTCCGCCAAAATCGAAAAAATGAGTTTTCCCGCCAAAATTTGAAAAACGTGTTTTCCCGCCAAAACCGCAAAAATGAGTTTTTCCGTCAAAACCGAAAACGTGTTTTCCCGCCAAAACCGCAAAAATGTATTTTCCCGCCAAAACCGCAAAAAAATGAGTTTTTCCGTCAAAACCGAAAACGTGTTTTCCCGCCAAAACCGCAAAAATGTATTTTCCCGCCAAAACCGCAAAAATGTCTTTTCCCGCCAAAATCGAAAAACGTATTTTCCTGCCAAAACCAAAAACACGTATTTCCCGCCAATACTAAAAAAACGTGTTTCCCGCCAATACGTGTTTTCCTCAAAACCGTGTTTTTCATAAAATGAGTTTTCTGCAAAAAAAAAAATTCCAAAAAATTTGAGTTTTTTCGACAAAAGCATAAACGCGTTTTCTCGCCAAAACCGGAAAATGAGTTTCCGGCCATACTGAAAAAACTAGTTTCTAGGAAAAACAATTCTGCATAATCTCTTTAGAACAAATAAAATAGTAGCTTGGGTATCCATGGGTTAACCTATATCCTATTGGATTATTTTTTTGGGTTTTAATTTAACCTTGATGTTTCTGGGTTTTCGCGGGTAAAGTATAAATTGGGTCGGGTTTTTTGTGGATTGGGCTGGACTAGAATATTTTACCCATTTTAACATCCCTACCTTGTTCGGTCAAGAAATCGGATTAAAAAATCAATTTTTTGAAGTTTTGAGTATTTTAAATCAATAGATAAGAACATTGAATGAATCTGATGCAGAAATAAGAAGAAAACACATAGATTTCGAGGGTTTTGACATGTTTTAGTGACTAATGGCAAGCAAAAAAAATCTGCAGATTCCCTAAGAATCATAAGGAAGATGATGAAATAATTACCCTTATACAACTCGAAAAAACAATAAAAAAACCAAAAACGTGTCATTCTTAAATCAATCTTGAGCTGTATCAATTTAAAACAAGCTCACTACCACTTTTTTTTTTAGCTCACTACCACTTTACCGCAGCAGTTACAAATAATTTGGTTTTTAAAAGATCACTTATCTATAATATATATTATGTATGTAAAAATAAACATGTGCTATACGTATAAATAATGTAAAAATTGGTAATATACATATAAATAATGTATTATATATATAAAATACAAAAATTCTTCCCCATGTACTCCTCAATTTCTCGATAAATCGCTAGGTCCAGATGCATAGAGCATAGCGAGTTTCCAAAGAATGATTTTAATCATCTTTAGAGGCTCAGCATCCAACAGGGTGAACAAAATTTTGTTAAAAGAACAGAGCTATGTCAGGTGTATCTTAGCGGTAGGTCTAAGAAACGAGGAGGACTAAACATCGCTGAATAATGAGAAAGGATGGTGGTCAGGGATGACGGCAGCCTATGGTGATGGCGAAGACAATGAGATCTTCTCTCTCTTTTTTTTTTGTTATTTTGGGTTCATCCCTAAAGTAAATTCTTAGGTTTATTATCTAATAAAATTGCATTATTTCATATGTGATATCTTTAAAATGAGTTTTGTTTTTAAAAATAAAAATAGAAAAATAAATAAATAATAATTATAATTAATAAAAATGAAAATAATTTTTTTAAAAAAATGTTTTTAACACTAAACCCTGAAATCTAATCATAAATCCTAAACTCTTGGTAAATCATAAACCTTTGGATAACTTTTATAAAAAAAAAAATCTTTAAAAAATTATTTAAACACTAAAACACTAAATCCTAAACGCTTGGGTAAATTATAAATACTAAACCCTAAACTCTAATCTTAAATCATAAATTCTTGGGTAAATCATAAACACTAAATTTTTAAAACACTATAAGATTTATCCAAAGGTTTATGAATTACCCAGAGTTTTAGGGTTTAGGATTATAGTTTAGAATTTAGTGTTAAAATATTTTCTTTAAAAAGAATTATTTTCATTTTTATTAGTTATTATTATTTATTATTTATTTTTATTTTTAAAAACATAATATAACTTAATAAAATTTTATTTCTTTTTTAAAAGATATCAAATATGAAATAATGAATTCTATTAGATGGTGAATCTAGAGGTTCATCTCATAGGATGAACCCAAGAATAAGTCTTTTTTTGTTTATTGAAATACCATCTCATAGGTGGTGTTTCCACCTAACTGAATAATCTAAAATAATCCTTGATATGTATTATTGATAAAATCCCAATTTTCCAATAAGGGGTGAATGATTTGATAGGATTTATACAAATGATAAATCCAATAACTATGGATTTGTAAGAGTTTTTATAAATACTAAATAAAATAAGGTAGGATTTGCTAAAAAACTGAAATTCTTTCAAATACCTAATTTAATAAGCCCCCCCCCCCCCTTCATAATTCCACGCTGTTTCCATGAGAAACAAGTTGAAAGTACATATTATATAACTTTACCCTTGTTGTTGAAGTTGTAAATTATACATTTTGTAGTAAAGCTAAAAAATACGTATATGCAAAGGAGTGATAGAGATGATGAAAAGAGGTGAACTTGGTGTGAAAGAAGAAGATTTGTCTCTCTCACATTCTCCTTCTTCTCCTATGCAAAACTCATGGAGCCATGATCACAATCTCTTCCTCG